TAGAATAGGTTTCAGTATCATCTAAGAGATTATTCATTTTTTCTTGGTAATCATTTTCTTTCATAATTACTATTGCATTTATTTTGTCTGCTTTAGTAAGGCGCAAATTTTTATTGTTATTAAGTGTATCATAAGACTTAAAGAATCTTAGAGGGCAATTGGGAATGTTTGGTTTTAACATAGAGCTATATACCATTCCTTTACTAATATTAATTTCAGATATGTTGATGATATTTTGTGTCTTATGCCCAAAAATGTAGATATACACCATTTTCTTGGAAAATTAAATAGCTTAGCCCATTCTATAAACTTTACTGTTGAGTTTGAAGAAAATAACTCATTGCCTTTCCTAGATGTTTTAATTATTAAGGGTATTAATGAATTCAAATTTAAAATTTACAGAAAACCTACAAATAACTGTTCCTATGTCCACTATTATTCCTCGCATCAAAATAGAGTCAAATTGTCTGTTTTCTCATCAATGTTTTTGAGAGCTTTACGAATTTGTAGTCCTGAGTTCATAGATGAGGAAATATCCAAAATTTATGAAATAGGTAATGATTTAAAATACCCAAGAAATGTAATTGATAAATCTTTTAAAGTTGCTAGAAACACTTTTTATAATCCAAAAAGGGGCAACCAGCCTTATTCAACTAAAAATATGTTGGTTCTCCCTTACCATGAAAACTTGGTTGATATGCCTTCTCTTCTTAAGACTTTTAATATTAAAGTTGTATTCAAAAATCTTGATACAGTAAAAAAACTTTGATAAAGAATTCCCCCCAAAATGCTGATGGATGTGTCTATAAGATTCCTTGTAAAATTTGCGATAAAGTTTATTACGGTCAAACTGGTAAAAATCTCGAACTAGATTAAAACAACATAAATATAGCATTAAAACTGGACAAGATTCCAATGCTCTATTTATTCATGTAAGAGATTTTAACCATCCAATTGATTTTCAAAAAGTTGAGAAAGTAGTATCAAGCAAGTCCATGGTCGACAGGAATATAATTGAATCTTGTTTCATAAAAAGCAGTTTTGACAATAAATGAATATTTCCTTTGGTTTATATAAATTAGATCCATTTATAATTAATAGAATTTGGGAAGAATTTAATAATACACTGGACAAATAATTTTTAAATTTTCTTGGGTAGAATAGCTTGGGGGTGAGTTTTGCAAAGGACCTATCCAAGTTGGCTCGCCGCGCGTCACGTGTTTAACCGTTGTGGGATCTGATAGTGAGGTGCTGGCCGGACCCCTTATATAGCTTCCATGGATGCTTCTCTTTCATAGTTCCTTGATAATGTGAGTAGTCACGAAAGCGCTTGGAATTTCTCTATTCTTTCAGAGTGGTTGTTTTGCATATTTTGAAATCACCTGTTTACTGTGATCTTATTGCATATATATATATATATATATATATATATATATATATATATATATATATATATGTATGTATATTATATTTATATTTGTATACCATCTTTTAGGAGTGAAGAAGAGCAGAATGTAAGTGTGGTGGAGGTACGTGAGGCATTACGTAGAATGAAAGGGGGGTAAAGCAGCTGGAACTGATGGGATCATGACAGAAATGTTAAAAGCAGGGGGGGGATATAGTGTTGGAGTGGTTGGTACTTTTGTTTAATAAATGTATGAAAGAGGGGAAGGTACCTAGGGATTGGCGGAGAGCATGTATAGTCCCTTTATATAAAGGGAAAGGGGACAAAAGAGATTGTAAAAATTATAGAGGAATAAGTTTACTGAGTATACCAGGAAAAGTATACGGTAGAGTTATAATTGAAAGAATTAGAGGTAAGACAGAATGTAGAATTGCGGATGAGCAAGGAGGCTTCAGAGTGGGTAGGGGATGTGTAGACCAAGTGTTTACATTGAAGCATATATGCGAACAGTATTTAGATAAAGGTAGGGAAGTTTTTATTGCATTTATGGATTTAGAAAAGGCATATGATAGAGTGGATAGAGGAGCAATGTGGCAGATGTTGCAAGTTTATGGAATAGGTGGTAAGTTACTAAATGCTGTAAAGAGCTTTTATGAGGATAGTGAGGCTCAGGTTAGGGTGTGTAGAAGAGAGGGAGAATACTTCCCGGTAAAAGTAGGTCTTAGACAGGGATGTGTAATGTCACCATCGTTGTTTAATATATTTATAGATGGGGTTGTAAAAGAAGTAAATGCTAGGGTGTTCGGGAGAGGGGTGGGATTAAATTATGGGGAATCAAATTCAAAATGGGAATTGACAGTTACTTTTTGCTGATGATACTGTGCTTATGGGAGATTCTAAAGAAAAATTGCAAAGGTTAGTGGATGAGTTTGAGAATGTGTGTAAAGGTAGAAAGTTGAAAGTGAACATAGAAAAGAGTAAGGTGATGAGGGTATCAAATGATTTAGATACAGAAAAATTGGATATCAAATTGGGGAGGAGGAGTATGGAAGAAGTGAATGTTTTCAGATACTTGGGAGTTGATGTGTCGGCGGATGGATTTATGAAGGATGAGGTTAATCATAGAATTGATGAGGGAAAAAAGGTGAGTGGTGCGTTGAGGTATATGTGGAGTCAAAAAACGTTGTTTATGGAGGCAAAGAAGGGAATGTATGAAAGTATAGTAGTACCAACACTCTTATATGGATGTGAAGCTTGGGTGGTAAATGCAGCAGCGAGAAGACGGTTGGAGGCAGTGGAGATGTCCTGTCTAAGGGCAATGTGTGGTGTAAATATTATGCAGAAAATTCGGAGTGTGGAAATTAGGAGAAGGTGTGGAGTTAATAAAAGCATTCGTCAGAGGGCAGAAGAGGGGTTGTTGAGGTGGTTTGGTCATTTAGAGAGAATGGATCAAAGTAGAATGACATGGAAAGCATATAAATCTATAGGGGAAGGAAAGAGGGGTAGGGGTCGTCCTCGAAAGGGTTGGAAAGAGGGGGTAAAGGAGGTTTTGTGGGTGAGGGGCTTGGACTTCCAGCAAGCGTGCATGAGCGTGTTAGATAGGAGTGAATGGAGACGAATGATACTTGGGACCTGACGATCTGTTGGAGTGTGAGCAGGGTAATATTTAGTGAAGGGATTCAGGGAAACCGGTTATTTTCTTATAGTCGGACTTGAGTCCTGGAAATGGGAAGTACAATGCCTGCACTTTAAAGGAGGGGTTTGGGATATTGGCAGTTTGGAGGGATATGTTGTGTATCTTTATACGTATATGCTTCTAAACTGTTGTATTCTGAGCACCTCTGCAAAAGCAGTGATAATGTGTGAGTGTGGTGAAAGTGTTGAATGATGATGAAAGTATTTTCTTTCTTTTTTGGGTCACCCTGCCTCGGTGGGAGACGACCGACTTGTTGAAAAAAAAAAAAAAAAATATATATATATATATATACGTATATATATATACTCAAATTCCCATCCACAAATCTCTCCATTCCCTTGTGTGAAGTTAAACAGATCATGGCAACATTTAAAGAGATATTGTCTCTGAAACACAAAATGAGGTGAAATCTGAAACAAGATTTATTATAAGGACAGAATTATTGGCATTAGCAATTTCTGAATTTGCAGGTACCTCTGGGAACTAAACCCTTGCAAATCTGGAGTTTCAACTGTACTGTATAATTCTTGGCCCATCTTCCATTGAGGTAAGGTTACCCAACAAAGAAAACTTTCAGTCGCTCATTCAATCACTGTCTTGCCAGAAGGGTGCTGACATCACAATTCAAATGCCCCTCCAAACTGCAACATCCCCACCTCTCCTTCACAGTGCAGGCATTGTACTTCCCACCTCCAGGACTCAAGTCCCGCTAATCAGTTTGCCCTGAATCACTTTATTAATGTTACCATCTTCACACACTCAACACATCAAATCATAAAAACCACTTACCTCTACTCCTATCTAAAGTGCCCACACATGCCTATTTGATGTCAAAGCACCTAGCATTCAACCTTTCCTAGGATGGGCTCTACCCCTCCTTCCCTTTCACCCCAGAAAATATGCTCTCCTAGTAATCCTATTTTTCTCCACCCTCTTAAATGTCCAAGCCACCTCGACAAACTTTGCATATTCACACTAACCATTACCCACAAACACAGACATCTCTACTACCTCCAGCTTTCCTGCTGCAACATTCAAGACCCATCCTTCACATGCATACAATGTTGATACCACTATACTCTGGATAAAGATTGTCTCCACAACTGCCTCAATGCACCATCCACCTGTTTACCTTCATCAATTCTATGGTTCACCTTGTCTCTCACAGAGCATTCTGCCTAAAAGTTCACTCCCAAATACAGTATCACAACACATTTACTTTCTCTATACTCCCTTCATCCAATCTGATATCCAATTTCTCATTGCCTATATTTTTTGATACTCTCAACACCTTTCTCTTTGTTTTCTTTTAGTTTTCATCTTTTACATACCCTCCCAAATTCATTTACCAATATTTACAACCTCTTCAGAATCCCTTAGTGTCATTGGCAAAACAACCGTTACAACTCACACTCCATACCTGATTCACAATTTTTCAGTCCCACACCTTTCCCCAACACCCAAGCATTTGCTTCTTTTACAACTTTCTAATCATTTTCTTTTATCCAATCAATTTGCATTTTTTTTTTTTAACATTACAACCATCTCTCACTGTGGAAGGGTGACCCAACAAAGAAGGAAATACTTTCACCATCACTCATTGTCTTGGCAGAAGCATCCTGACATTACAGTTTGGATGACCCTTCAAACTGCAACATCCCCACCTGTTCACAGTGCAGACACTGTACATCCCACCTCCAGAACTCAAGTCAGGTTAACTGGTTTTCCTGAATCCCTTCATAAATGTGAAGGGATATTACCAGTAGATATTTGCTGGTAATCATACTCTTACATATATTTGGCTTAGTACCAATGGTTACATTTTCATTGGATGTACAGCATTATATCAGTCATCTAAGTAGTTTATCAAATACATTGAATACATAACAATAAAACAAGTAAAAGGCAGCATTTATTACACAAACTGTGGTAGGATTCTTTAAATGTCACTACATTATGAAAGATTCAAATTAACCAATAAAATAGCATGTGTCAAAAGCTAAATACTTTTTTATACTGTCAACCAGTGGAGGTTAACAAGAATTAAAAAAAATCACAAGAACTTTCCTTGGCTATAAGTATGTAAAATTCTTGTATTAAATTATGGAAGCATTCTACTGTTATACATAGTTACTGTGCATTTAATGCTAGGCATATAGAGCACAGTAGAAAATCTAATATATTAATATTTTTATAATATGTACTGCCTTATAAACACTTATGTCAGATTACTTCATACTTGACCAAAATATGCAGCATGTAGTTTTCATTCTACAATTGTCACAGTACTAAGTGATCCACATGTATAATGTTTCCATTTGAATATACTGTGCAATATTAACAATCTTGCAACTGTCAAAATTGATTTACTGTAGTGCATTGGGCAACATGTTACTGCTTTCTCATGCAGTTTTATGAAGATTAATTGTGTACATTTTGATTGTATATTCCTCAGTGATATTTTATCATTGTGAATTAGTCAACAAAAACTATGTATACATTTATTAAATGTTGTCAACAGCAGTTTAAATATGACAAAAAAAAAAAAATTCTCTTTTGGCGAAAGAGTTATATCAGCAATTCCAGATCCTGGCAATGTTATATATTTCTTTGGCATGATCAGTCAAAAAATTCATACTGAACATAGGACATGTACACTTAAACAACTTGGGACAACCAGTTACAACTATGCCACCAGGCAGATCTTAACGTACTGTTCATATATAGCATTAACTACTAAACTATTATAGGTGCTCAAAAATAAAATATACAGTATGAACCTTCAATACCAGGTAAAGGGGTCTTCATATTTCCAGTAGTCATTATTCTCATCTTCAATAACTATGAATTAACTCATAATAGAATACTTTAGTTAACAAAGAAATTTATGCTTAATTGTATACTGTAAGACAATATTTATATGTATTAACACAACAATCCATAACATAAAATGTTAAGCAGAGTAAAATGCTTCTCTCTGGTGGAGCTTTGATGAATCACTTAAGGGGAAAAATCACTCACAAATACAGTACTCATAATTACCAGTAAAATCGGATTTGATGCACAGTTTTTAGCTCTGTGAGGTTCTTTTCACCTTCTGGGGCTTGTTTATTTACTTTATAGCACAATTGGTGTGTGTTCATCTTGCAACTGAAAAGTGTTTGGGTTGAACCTGAGGAGAAGATGGATGCATGCACAAGTTTCCTAACATCTATGACAGGATATATTCATCATGAGGCATGTGTCTGTGAATATAACCTGACAATTTAATCCCTACCTTAGGATTAAAGTATGATTGGCAGTGAACAGGTGATGTGCAACCTTTATACATTTTTAAGCCCCATTAACCAATCCAAACATCTGCTACATCTGTTCCTTGAGAATTACCTTAAAGGACCCTAATGAAAATAAGTGCCACTTCTTGACTTTGAGTTATCCTGGCCTATGGCTGAGCTGCAAGGTTAGAAGAAACAGAAAAGGCCACAGGTAAATCACCATCTAAGTTTACTAATCCTAATTGTGTTCATCTGTCTGTCATTTTAGATGTTACCTTGACTAAAGATCATCCCCAAATCACAGTTGACAACTTTAGACAAAGCTAAGTAACTCGGTTAAGGATACTAGATATAGGATTATAATTTGTAATACGTATACTGGTGTTTGTCCTTGTCATTAGTGTCCATAAGAGATTCACTTATTCTTCAATGTTGGGTGACGAGAAGAGGCAATTAACTTGACCTACATATTATCAGTATTATATTTAAGAGGAAGCACTAAACCCATAGGGGTCATACATTGCCTGAGGAATGGGAGGTAATAAGGTTTGATCCAAGGAAAGGGAAGGTTGTTCAAATTCTTTGGTCAAGAGTCCTTGAAGGGCTGAAGTATGATAGATTATTAGCAGCAGTTGATTATAAATAATAACCTCCCATTCCTAACAAATCACAAAATCATAATGACATGATTGCAAACACACCACTATACAGATGGGCCCCCCACCTTTACAGTGGCTTGTTTCCCATTCCAAAAGCTGTTTTGTTTTTAATTCAGTAAACTTATAAGACTTGCCTTTTCTTATGCTTCTTTTCCCTTCAAGGGGGGTGAATGCTGGGTAAAGGCCTCGTGATCAAAATAATTGGAGAAGCTTTCTCTTCCTTTGACTCAAATATTATTACATCCTATTCTGTAGATGCTGCATGACCCCTACATATTTAGTACATTACTATGATTATAATAAGGATATCTTACTATGATTATAATAATATCTTTCTCACCACCTCTTCACCTGACCTGTCTACTAGCTTCTGTCTTACTGATGTTTTGCTAATGGTTCATCCCTTCAAGGGAGGTTCCTTGACACTGGTAAGGGGCTCTTGATCTAGGGAATTGGATCTGTGCTCCAGTTCCCTGAAATGAGCCTGAATACCTTCCATCCCCCTGCACATGCACTGTATAATCCTACAAGTTTAGCGTTCCCTCATAATTATAATAATAATGCTAATGGTTCAGGGCTGACTGAACCCTCAGCTCAAGTTTCCTTTTCAAACTGTAGGTTAGTTGTGACTTATTCTCATCAGGGTACTGTGATTTTTATTTACATCTGATATTAATGGTATATGTAGGTATTTGTCAATGGTGATTGTTATTCCCAAGTGGTTCATAAAACTGAACACACAGCAGGTTCTCATGCATTAAAATGTAGTATTTTAATATTAGCTGTATTTTCTTCCATCTTTTTTGTTTGGCTATGGGACAAAACTTAAGCCACCAAAAATATGTATAGGTTAAAGTATGCTAATTGGAATTAAAAGCCTTGTGGAATAATCTTAAACTGGTAAAGATCAATTCCTTTAACTACAGTGTACACAAATTAATATATAGGATTCACTTACATAGACAATATAATATATAAATTAACTGAAACAATGTAAGACACTGCTAGCAACAATAGTTTTACAATCTCAATTACTGCAAACACTTGATCACTTACAATGAACTAAAAGTGTAAGTAATCAGTACACAAAATCAAGTTTTGTATCAACAAATCTGTAAGATATCTAAGTATCCAAAACTTTTATATACTTTTAAATAATAGATTTAAAAATGCTTAATTCCTCTGATGCCAAATTCTGTCAAATATTTTTATATTAAAAGCAGTGATAATGATCTCTTTCATAAAAAATTATCAGGAAAAATGTTTTACAATACTGACAAAACTATGGGAGGAATAAGTCTAAATAAAATAAACAATGAAAGCACCACCAGTATCAGGTTCATTAAAAACAGCATTCAAAAAATTGCAAATATTTTCTTCTGAGGACACGGAATGCACTTTCAATGAGTCGTATGTAGTGTGACTTCCAGTTGGACATAACAGTAATTTTCAGAAAGCATGCATCTGTTTCATGAATGTACAACACATGGAATGCACCTCTTAAACTTCATTTAAACTGCATGAGCCAAATTCTTAGGCTCAGAACACCAAAATTCGCTTTTCTACAGGCTTACGACAGATTGGACATTCATGCATGCGGTCACCACACATCTGGCATGTTCCATGGCCACAGAGGAAGATCATGTTCTTTAAGCGGTCAAGACAAACTGGACACATTGTCTGAAGGGAGAGAGAAAGAAATTATTTTTATATTTTTGATAAATTTCAATTACAGTGGTAGTTTGACTTACGAGTGCCCCAACTTACAAGTTTTCCGAGTTACAAGCCATCACTTGGTCGATTTTTTGCTTTGAGTTGCGAGCCAAAATCTGAGTTACGAGCGAGCTTCAGATATGCCACCACTAGTTGGTGCAGCAAACGCCACATCCGCCAAGCATCCCAGCGTTTTGTGCTTTTTGTGCAGTTATTTTGCCAAATTTTAAGAAAAGTGCACAGGACAGTGCTCAGAAGAGGATGATGTCCATTGAATTAAACCATAAAATCATAGAAAATTGCTTCTGTTTCTATGTTTTCCTTAAGAAACTAGAGATCTAGTGTAGTTAGCCACACAAACACTGTTTTCTTTTATAATATGAAGGACAAGAATGGGAAAATATGGTCAGAGCGATAATTATTTTTACCTCGGGAGTGTCTGTCACCATTCCTCACACAATGACATATTTCATTCATTCTAGAGTATATACCATGTTATGTTTTTTATATTGTTTGTCATATAAGATCAATTGTGATAGATAAATAAGCCGTAGAGTTGATATAAGCGTTATACCGAAGTATTTTCTCCTGCCTCCCGAAAGTCGAGAATTCCGCTGGAATGGATTAATGTCATTTCAATTAATTTCAATGAGGAAAATTGATATACGAGCAAATTGAGTTCTGAGCTTGGTCACAGAACAAATTAAACTCGTAAGTCAAGGTACCACTGTATATAAGCATGGACAGCAAAACTTTATTATTCATACAACTCTTCTATTCACCAGGCTTTTGAATAGATGGGTCTCTTATATACTACTAGATTATGAATGAACTCTTATATACTAGATTATGGATGAACTATCATGATTCCTTCTGGATACCAATCCTCCAGAGATTGACTAAACAATGTCCTAACCAAGAGCCTATGTGTATTATATGTTTTGCTCCATTATTGTACAAATTTCACAGTACAGTGGACCCCAGGTTAACGATATTTTTTCACTCCAGAAGTATGTTCAGGTGCCAGTACTGACCGAATTTGTTCCCATAAGAAATATTGTGAAGTAGATTAGTCCATTTCAGACCCCCAAACATACACGTACAAACGCACTTACATAAATACATGTACAGTGGACCCCCGCATAGCGAACTTAATCCGTGCAAGAGGGCTGGTCGTTATGCGAAATGTTCGCTATGCGAATTAATTTTCCCCATAAGAAATAATGGAAATAAAATTAATCCGTGCAAGGCACCCAAAAGTATGAAAAAAAATTTTTTTACCACAAAAAAATGTTAATTTTAGTACACACAAACTGAAAAAGGCATGCACAATTACATGACACTTACTTTTATTGAAGATCTGGTGATGATTGATGGGATGGGAGGAGGGGAGAGCATTACCTTCTTACTGTTTAGAAGGGGAATCCCTTCCATTAGGACTTGAGGTAGCAAGTCCTTTTCTGGGGTTACTTTCCTTCTTTTTTAATGCCACTAGGACCAGCTTGAGAGTCACTGGACCTCTGTCGCACAACAAATCTGTCCATAGAGCTCTGTACCTCCCGTTCCTTCAAGACTTTCCTAAAATGGGCCATAACATTGTCATTGAAATAGTCACCAGCACGGCTTGCAACAGCTGTGTCAGGGTGATTTTCATCCATAAAGGTTTGCAGTTCAACCCACTGTGCACACATTTCCTTAATTTTTGAAGTAGGCACAATGGATTCCACAACTGGCATAGGCTTCTCAGGGTTAGCCCCAAACCCTTCAAAATCTTTCTTAATTTCCATACTAATTCTCACCCTTTTTACCACAGGGTTGGCACTAGAAGCTTTCTTGGGGCCCATGGTCACTTATTTTCCAGAAACAGCACCGAAAACACTGTAATAATACGAAATATTCCGAGTGTATGCTTGAATGTTACCGCGGAGGCTAGCTGGTAAACAATGGGACGGGCGGCACATGTGAGGCTGGCTGAGGGCCCACATTGGACGCGTCTCGGACGAAGTTCGCTGAGCGGGTTTTTGTCTACTATGCGGGGCAAAATTTCAGCGAACAAAGCGTTCGCTATGCGGATTGTTCGCTATGCAAGGCGTTCGCTATGCGGGGGTCCACTGTACACTTACATAATTGGTCGCATTCGGAGGTAATCGTTATGCGGGGGTCCACTGTATTTTCATATGCTATTTAAGGTTGTATTCTAGTTTTCCTGGTCTCATTTTATAGAATGGAAGACATATTACAGAAATTGTTATGATTTTTGATTGGTTTCACAATAAAAAGTACCTTGAAATTGAGCTCAAAGTAGCAGAAATATTTGATTTTTGCCAAAGTTCAAAAGTAAACAAATCATGCCACGCGTCCAATACACGTCAACTGGTGAGTCTAATATTCTTTCAGAAGTGCGCTGATATTAGTTATACCATTTCTACACTAATGCAGTAGTCTGATTAACAGTAAATCTTCTATTTTTTGTGGGAATAAAAATTCAAAGTGGAAAGCAAAAGAAATGCAAGAGGGGCCTGGGGACGTGACTAATGAACAGAGGAAATGTTATTTTAGTGCCAGGAATGTCTGTCTTGTTTATTCTGGACCCTATTTATTAATTGGCATCTTTTGAAACTTGTGTGAAACTGGCAAAATTGCCAATTTCTAATCACTTTACTGGATAGTTGAAATTGGTGAATGGGTGGTTTCTTATACTCATTTGATAGAAAAAATGGAGTTCTAGCGAAAGTTATGATTTTTGTCGACTAGTACAGTATAATTGGCAGAAAATAGGGCTCAAAGTGGGCAAAATCGCCGATGCGTAAACATCATCTAGACCGCTAACTTCGCGAGGACATAATTCCCTAAGTTTGCCATCAAATTTCATACTTTTGGTGTCATTATGATCGGGAAAAGATTCTCTTTATTTTCATAAGATTTTTTTTTTTTTCCTGAAAAACTTTCGACCCTGAGAACAAGTTTAGGAGAGGGCCTCTCGACCCTGAAATGGTTAATAAATACTATGTCCATTTTGCAACCCCATTTTTTAACCCTTTGACTGTTTCAGTTGTATATATACGTCTTACGAGGTACTGTGTTTGATGTATACGTATATACTTATAAATTATAGCGGCTTCAAATCAAGCAGGAGAAAGCTGGTAGGCCCACATGTGAGGGAATGGGTCTGTGTGGTCAGTGTGCACCATATAAAAAAAATCCTGGAGCACGCAGTGCATAATGAGAAAAAAAAAAACTCCGACCGTTTTTTTTTAATCAAAATGCCAACTTTGTGGTCCATTTTCGTATAGTATTTATGGTTGTATTCTCGTTTTCTTGGTCTCATTTGATAGAATGGAAAACATATTATAGAAATAAATGTGATTTTGATTGGTCTTACTATAAAAAGAACCTGGAAATGGAGCTCAAAGTAGGGGAAATGTTTTATTTTTGCCGATGTTCAAAAGTAAACAAATGATGTCATTGTCCAATAAATGTCCAACTACCCATTTTAATATGCAGTCATGAATGGGTTGACATTATCTGTACAATTATTACAGTATTGCAGTAGTCTGCATAACAGTAAATCTTCTATTTTTTGTTTGAATAAAAATTCAAAATAGAAAGCAAGAGTAATATCAGAGGGGCCTGGAGACATGACTGATGAACAAAGAAAATGTTATTTTAGAGCCAGGAATGTCTGCATTGTTCATTCTGGACCATATTTTGAAATTGTCATATTTTTTAATTTTCGTGAAATTGGCCAAATTGCAAATTTCTGACCATGTTATTGGGTAGTTGAAATTGGTAAATGGACAGTTTCTTGTACTCAATCGATAGAAAAAGTGGAGTTCTAAAGAAATGGCTATGAGTTTGGTTGACTGAAACAATGGAATGAGCCAAAAATAGGGCTCAAAGTGGGCAAAATCGACAATTTGCAAATGTTGCCGAGGTCGCTAACTTCATGAGTGCACAATTCAGTCAGTTTTCCATCAAATTAAGTTTTTTTTGGTGTCATTACAATCGGGAAAAGATTCTCTATCATTTCATAAGAATATATATATATATATATATATTTTTTTTTTTTTTAATTTTTGCAACACTAGGAGACACCTCAGTATTGGGGGTTGCGACAGTTAAAGGGTTAAATACTATTAATTATAATTACTTGCTAAAAATTTGTTTAATACTATAATTACTATCAGTCCATTTTACTTTTGTACATTTTTTTCAGATTATTAATTATCATTACCTACTAAAAACTTGTTTTAATATACATGTACTACATTTACTATCAGTCCATTCAACTTTATAAAATTAAACACTATATTCTTTTAGTGCAGTTCTTTACTTTTAAATACTTTGTACTGCCCTATAAGCTCTAATATTACTACCATTGCAATACTGAATCCTCATAGTTGTAAATAAAAATCTAATACACTTGTAACAGAAATTATTATTTTTTTTTTATATTTTGTAATTAATATTACTTGCTTAAACTTTGTTCAACACCACATTTACTATCAATCCATTTTACTTTAGTACAACTTATCACTACATTCTCTCTTTTTATTTCTATTTTCTTTATTTTTAATTTACCATTACTTGCTTACTATTATTAAAGAACTGATAACCAGTGCAATATTATATGGTCAAACTTGTACCATAATAAGAGTTTGCATAATCCCTGTATCTTATAATTACTTATCTTAATCTACTATTATACACTATTATTTTTTGTTTTATATATTTTTTTTTAACAAGTCGGCCATCTCACACCGAGGAAGGGTGACCCAAAAAGAAAGAAAATCCCCAAAAAGAAAATACAGTGGACCCCCGGTTAACGATATTTTTTCACTCCAGAAGTATGTTCAGGTGCCAGTACTGACCGAATTTGTTCCCATAAGAAATATTGTGAAGTAGATTACTCCATTTCAGACCCCCAAACATACACATACAAACGCACTTACATAAATACACTTACA